TAAACACAGAACATGGCAGTCGTTCCATTATTACGTCTACACTGTCCTACATTATACGAGTACTTCTCTGTGGATAATAAATAAGATCCTGTGTAAGGTAGTTATCTTGGATCCTGCTATAGGTAGGCATGTAGTTACTGATAAAACAGTATTATAACTTGAAACGGAAGATATCTTGACAAGAGTTAATGAAGTTTTAGCTCTGACTGATAATAGGACGACGTCACATAAGCAATTACTCTATACGTTACATTTCAGCAGCATTAATTAACGATCTCTTGATCGAGGTTTCAGTTATGACATGCAAAATTAAGCTAAAAGAGGTTCTACAAAGTTCTACAAAGGACTAAACGCTTTAAACTCAATTTAACACTGTCTTAAGTCATTTACAGTATATGAGACTATTGAGGTGAGCTCCACTAATGTGACTATGAGACTATGTGAGCTCCACTGAAGTGTTTAGAAGGCTACATATTATGAGTTTCTGCGATTGTGCAGCAGTCCATAAGCTTCTAGTCATGTTGACTAATACAATACGCTAATGGTATGGTGTAAAAGCGTTGATTTTGAATGTTAGATTAAGTCTTTCCGCCCCGTAGGCACTATGAGGGCCTCTTTTACCAAGCTTACAATGGGGCGGTCGAGCGATAAGGGACCCGACATATCCGGTTGGACCACCGCCCGAAGAGTTTTTTTTTACTTATATTATCTTTATCTATCTTCGTGCTAATGAATATAAAACAAGGAAAAACAAGAACAGCCGTAAAATGTGGAGTTACTTCCTTATAAGGCATAGTACAAACAATAATCTTGCAAAAATACTTGTTTTAAATAAGTATTTTTGCAAGATTATTGTTTGTTATAAACAAGTATTTTTGCAAGATTAACGTTGTAATTCGAAAAAACAAAGAAGAAAAAAATGAAAAATAAAATAAAACTCGGGAAGATAATTGTTCCTCCTGAGATATATTTTAGCCTTCTCTTAGTGTTCCTCCTGAGATATGTTTGAGCCTTCTCTTAGTGTTCCTCCTGAGATATATTTTAGCCTTCTCTTAGTATTCCTCCAACACTAAGAACACAGAATTAGTGTTGAAGGAAGAATTAAATTTATTCGAACCATTCCAAAGAAATCTTAAAGATATATTCGTTATATTCGTTATGAAAGATCTAAATTATATGATCATTGTTAGAAACCTTGTTAATTAGAAAACATCACCACTGTAATGTCAAACATTTGAATGCGAAGGCCAGTTTACACTTTTTATGCCCGAAATTGGCTACATTATCCACATTTTAATCGAATTTTTTGCTACTTTGGATTTATTTTCACCCCACGAATAACTTCCATTAACACAGCAGACTTGGGCTGTGTTAATGGGACACAACCTAAAACTTTTATTTTTTTAAGAGTCCACAGGGCTTGACGCAGAGGATCCTTTGCCTATGAAGCAAAATAAAATTTGAACACTACGATCGGATGATAAATAACGGAGATATTACTGTTTCCGGACATCCTGTTTATCGGTTTCTTATATTAATTAATTGTTTATAGCTGGTGTATATATTGTGTTCTGTAATATAAAATATAAAATATAGCCTATATATAGCCTACTGTATAGATATAAATACAACTAATACAGTATGCGAGACACTACAAATGTCAGAGCTTTACGAATGGGTAGAGCCGAACTCGTTTTATTTTAGTGACATATTCATTTCGAATGAATAATTAATCACTAAAAAAAATAATGTATTATTATATGAAAATCTAAAAGAATTATTTAAAAATGGTTTACAGATCATCAACTATTCAGAGGTAAATTTTTACATGTCCTTGTTCTCAATATCTTATGACAATTGATAACAATACATTTGATATATTTATCTAAAGATAATCAAAAAAAAAAGGTCATAGTTCACGTGTAATTTAAATCATAAACGCAAAAAAAAATTTACGTATACTTAAATGAATCATTCTGTTCGAAAAATGACTCGAAAATTGTTATTTAAGTATAAAATTAGGAGTTGTAGACGTGGTATTTTTCGATTATTTTAGCCTATGATGGTTGTGTTTATTAAAAAGTTTCTAGGGGAGGAGTGAGCCTATATTTTCCACGTGATCCTAGAGAGTATCTATGAAAAATTTAGTCTAGATCGGTCGAATGGTTTCGGAGATAATAGGGAGATAAAAGCAAAGAACGGAATGGATAATCCTCGAGGGGATCAATAATTATACACAAAGCCTTGATACTTCCTGCAGGATCCTAGAGAAAAAGACTAAGAAAAATTTGAAGATCGGTTAAAGAGTTTATAAGTGTATACAGAACAGACAAACAGACGTTGTGTTTTATAGCCTATATACTGCATATATATTTCGAATTCGAAAGTATATACAATATAAACTGTTATCTTAGTTATCGTATTAATATCTATAGTCATTGTGACGTAATTTTAATTGTAAATTCGTACGATAAAAGATCACTTTTTTCTGGTTTGTATTTGAATTAGGAAAACCTGGAATATATTCGAATTGTACAGTCCCCCTATAACACTGTTGATTTTTCCGTTTTATATGAATTCCATGTTGTACGAGTCACTTAGATTTTACAAATACCTGAGCCGTTTACAGCCCCGCACACGTATTTATAAAATCTAAATGACTCGTACAACATGGAATTCATATAAAATGGAAAAATCAACAGTGTTATAGGGGGGTCGACTTGTATTGTATAATTAAATTAAATTTTAATATAATAATGATGATGATATAATCAGTGACGAAACACATAAATTTTTAAAAGTTATGACGTTATTTTCTTAAATAATATATTATTAAAAAAAATTTTTAAGTTATTAAATTTAAATTATTTATAAGGTACTGCGTGTTATACTTTGTGTTCGTGATACATCGATCAAAGTTTTTCGATACGGAGCTTGTATTTAAACAAAACATAATTCAAATAAATGTAGTTAAATGTTAATGTATATAAAATATAGTTAAATAAATGTTGCAGAATTTGCTGTAATACTTAATTTTGTTATGTAACGATGATCGGGTTTTTACATCTTTCATCATTATAAGTCGAATTTAATAGGACACGTATAGTTCTGTGTAAGTATGCAGGGCCTGGAGATAGAAAAGGCTCCTTTTTATCTTATTTGGATCTTTATTTTTGTTAGTAAAAATAGCATTAATATATAGGGACAGGAACCACTCGAACCCCTAAGTTTTCTTGGGGCCTGGGAAAATATTCCAGCTCTTCCCCCTCTCGACGGTCCTGCAATTACGAATTTTTTATATTGTTACTTTAATAAGTGTAATAAAGTATTTAAATAATGATTTTTTTCTCCTTGATCCATGTAACTTCATCATATGTTGGCCAAAACGTGTCCTTGAAAACAAGGATCGTTCCTTGTTTTCAAGGCCTGGTAACCCCAATTGCAATCACCTTGTGGAAGCGCTGATCCGACGTTAAAACTTAGTTTGAGGCTTCTTGCATAATGTATGATTCCCTTTACAACAGCCAAAATATAAATGAATATTATGGCTGTTGTCATATTTTTAGTTACTCTATACCAGGAGCAGCCCTACATAGATGCAAAAATGGCAATGTCCAAGTCCTCGCGCTTGCACATTCTCTCAAATTTTAGTAGTATATACTGTATTATATTTTAATAAATCTGAATAAATCTATCCTCTCCCTCCATCACTCTTTTAATGGGCTTCAAAAATAAATTTTGCTTAGATCCTCACAAATCTTAAGAGTCTCCACTATTTGTGTCTACTTTAAATAATGAAATTTTAGACAAAAAATGCGCTATTATGAGTAATGAACTACAATTTAAAGATTATTTATTAACAGATAAAGTAACTTTAATCCGGATATTGTTGTATTCCGATCGGATTTGTATGTACAGTACAGTACAGTAAGCTATACAAGCTGCAACTTAGGGCCTCGTGTTACGAGTCTGTTGCTGAAGGTTTCATGTTTTTATGCGTATCATTATTTGTCTGAGGGGATGACCTGTTATATGTTATAGCTTAGTGCCACAACAAGTCTTATTTTAATAATTGTACAGTGTACGGATACGTCGGACCCCTCTTTTGCCACTTAACCGCCCCAGTATGGGTCTGACCGAACTCATAATGGCTTGCTGAAACATATCCTCTATATTTTTAGTAAGATATATCTTTTTGTTTATTGTAAAATTATTCGAGATTAATCAATTACAGTATATGACACATCTATTATTCACCAATAGACTTTAACAGAAGGCGATAAATGAGTTTGTTTAGAGTAAATAATACGGGAAAAGTTTCCTTATATCCTCTATGATTTAAACTTTAAAGCTTTAAACGTTATGTGATCATTTTAATTAATCACTAACAATTGAACAATAAGCAGCAGTTAGGCCTACACGCACCGTGTTAACAAAACAAATTATTAAAACGAGCTGCTTGACAATGTTTAATAATTAATTAACGAAGCAGGTGTTGAAAATGCCTTCCTCTCTCACGCGAGCACGTCTCAGCACGACGACGAACTGAATGTTAATTCTTTCCGCCCAGTGGGCCTCTTTTAGCAAGTTCATTACGGGTGGGCCTGGCCCACAATGGGGCGGTCGGGTGATGAGGGACGGGGCCCGACATATTCGCCATCTTTGTAATAAGGCCATTGACTTTATAAATGATTCACGAACTTATAAATAAGTTTTAATCTTATGAAATATCGACATGATTAATATTATTTCCTATCGATAATGACGCAGCGTGTTATCAATATAAAATAATAATCTACGAACTTAAATTACTTAGGAAGTTTGTAAATTAAATCACGCAACTAACTTACTACGTTATATTAATCTTTCGTAATAAATTTATTATCGAATTTAATTAATTAAATAGTTATTTAATGTATTATGTTTAGAAAAATGCTTATTAATTGAATTATATTTAAATTTTTTTTTTAATTAATCAGCAAATGTTTCCAGTAACATCCACTTGAGGGCGCCATGGGAAGTAAACACGTGTTAAAAAAAAAAAAACATGTGGTATATATATATATACTGTATGTAGTTGCAGCTGAATGTAGTCATCCTTGGAGTAGGTAGGTGGTTAGTAGATCGGTAGATAGTGTCGGATGTGCGAGAAATATGGGATGTTTTCGATCGCTTCAAGCTTTACTGTGGAAAAGTTGGATTATACATCGCAGGCATTTTATCTGGACTATTATTGAACTTATATTACCATTACTTTGTTCTTTTACGTTAGTTTATATAGCATCAAAAATTTCATTTACACCACAAAATCACGATAGTGATCACAAGGATGTCACCGTTTATAATGGATATAACTTGAAAAAACATCTGTTTTTCCCAAGTGGGGAATTTCTGTATACACCAAATGACAATAATGTCAGTGAACTGTTGCAGTACGCTTTAAGAAATGGATTCTATTATAAAATAAGTAAGTATTCTGGTCAGTTTCTGAGTCCGAATGTAAATTTAATTAAATTTTAATTCTGTAATTTTTTTTTTACTTTTATATGATGAAAGGGTATGCTACAGTTCGTATTTAACTTCGTTATTTTAATAAATTTATTAATTAAATAATAATTTGTGTGAAAAAAATTAGTTGAAATGTTTTCAATGCTGTACATTATTTTATCATTATGTTGGTAACTTTTAAGTTTTTTAAAAAAATTAATTTATATTTAATAATTGAAATTTTAAAATGTTATTTGGGTTCAAGTGTGCCGAGAGATTTAAAAAGGTTGGACTAGATTTTAATCTTAAATAAGGATTTTGGGTTTTCTTTTTAGAAAATCCAAAATACTTATTTGAGATTTAAAAAAAGGTTGAAAAACACTTCATTTTAATCTCTCGGCGCACTTGAACCTATAATTAAATTTTCACGGCACGCTTAAATTATAATGATGAAAAAAGAGTGAAAAGAGAGATTTGTATTTTTCATAAATTATAGTAAATTGCTTTGTGTCAATAAATAATTTCTAATAAATAGATAATAATTAAAATTCTTAAACCAAAAAATAAGATTTTTTATTATAATTGAACACTTAATGAGAGATCTGATCTAAGAAAAGCAATTAAGTCTTTAATTTTTGTTTTTAAAAGTCATATGATAATTGCCTTTTAGAAACCTGCCTAATATCTCACTATTTCTAATTTAAAATAATTTGAAATAAATATGGACAATTACAGAAGTTTTTGATTTAAAGAAAATTTCATTTTAAATGAAAACCCGGCGTAATTTTGCTTGTAAACACAGATTTTTACTACTTTATGTATAGGTTTATACGTATTTTTCATTGTTATAATAAATAATCAATTTAAAAAGGTTTTAATTTTGACGTGTATCTTTATTGTTTTTTGGACTTCTTTCGAAAATAATTTTTTAATAACCTTCAAAAATTTTTGTGGCACACCTATGATCCTTTCTTGACATACCGGTTGAAAATCACTTATCTAGACCCAGCCGTGAGCAAGCCCTAGTCCAGGGGTGGCCAACCTTCTGCATACAATGCGCCAATTTTCTGACAGACGAGTTCAGATGCGCCATATAAATCGAACACTTTTTATACAGTCTTACGTTCAATGTTAGGGGTTGATAAATAGAGATAAGAATATATCTGCTTCGCTTAGGAGAGAAAAGGGAGTAACTTAATCACGCAGTTGAATTAATTAATTTATGACAGTTTATTGAAGCACCAATTTACAATAGTCACCAATAATCTCCTGTATGAGAGGGTGATTGCTTGATGATGGTGCTATAGCTGCCAGAGTCTCGTTTGGTGAAGATTACTCTGCACCACAATTATTGGCACTGAAAATCAGCTTGGAATAACTTTAATCACAATAAATGTTTTCAACCATTTACACGCCTGTAAACTGATCGGAAATAAAGATCGCAAGACTCACAATACATGCATACACTGTAATTTACTATGTGGAGAACATTCATTTTATCTGAAAAATAGACTGTAACGAATTGTGCAACAAATGAACTTGCCAAGACAGACTATAAAAAATTTATTTTTCTATATAATATTTTTAATCGCAAAAAGCCAAATCTGGCAATTTTGCTCAGATCAAACTGAAGCGCCACTTGTAATCGTCCAATGCGCCAAGTTTGGCGCATGCGCCACGTCTTGGCCACCCCTGCCCTAGTCCTTAAGACCCAATATGCGGCTCCTGTGGGGCTTTGGCTACTTAATTTTATTTTTTGATTTTCTGCCTCGTGCCATTATGCAATCATAATTAAGATGATGTTTGTGGCAAAGAATGTTGAAACTAATTTTTAATCTGTGAAAAGATGAGAATAAACTACTTAGGGTCTTCATAAAACATCAGATTTCATGCACAGTTTGATAAATGATAAATTAGAAATTTCACTGAAAGATCCATTCTTTCATTTCATCTTGTAATGAAAGTTTTTTGGCATTTAGTTACATTTTGGATGTTTTCCATTTGTGTCCTGCAAACATCCAAACACAATATTTTATTAATTCCCCACATTTGTGTCAATATGTCAGGAGCAACAATTACAGTGACATCAGTTATTCTCTTGTAGATGGTCAAGACTGCATTCACCATGTTCTTTGTATTTCCACATAAAAAAGGTCAAGAAGTGTTGTGTCTTGATTCTCAGTTGGTCACAGAACAGACTACCCTCCAATCAACCTGTTAAGAAATCTATTGTCTAAAGCAGTGATTCTCAACCTTTTTTTTCATCACGGTATACTTTTAATAATTTAAAAATTTGATGGTACACACTTGATGGTACTTTGGTAAGTACCGCAGGACAACCAGTGACGTCATAACAGTGATTTTTAAACGCAGTTGGTTATTAGGTCAAATTTTCTAAATGCCTTGGTAACTACCGGCAGTAACACCGGTTACAATTTCCAAACATACCCTAGGAAGATAGAACCGATTAAACTACTTGTCTGACGTCACTTATGTATGGATATTTGCAGTGGCAGCACACTTCAAAAATCTCGTGGCACACTAAATTGCCATGGCACAGTGGTTGAGAATCACTGGTCTAAAGCCATATGAACATGATTGCTGAAATAGTAGTACACAAAAGGCCATGATCTATGTATATAGTGATCATAGGAATCTGTAATTTCAAACTGCATCACAATAATCATTTTTGTGGACTTCAAGCAGTGGAAGCTCAGTTCTTCCATATTATCTTCTGATATACACAGTCTCCCAGACATTTTCCATTTTAAACTCCCCGTTGCTGTAAAATGTTGAAACCACTAACAAATAGTATGATTAGTCTCATCTGAAGGGATTTTACTAACAACAAAAATAACATTTAGCATTGAGGAACCAAATCATACACTACCCTTTCTTCTGCACAGTTGCCTTAATAATGACATTGTTGTGCCTCAGTAGTGTTGTTTTTACTCAACACAACATATAACAAAAAACTTTCCCAGATTCTCAAGACACTGGAACAAGCATATTTCTAACCTCATTTCTAAAGATTAATATCAGTTAACCGAAAAAGTTTTGTCATTTTTCTATTGTGGAAAAGAAATGTGAACAAATGTAGAAAGAAACCAATTTATTCATTGAAATACGTACATTTGCATGCAATCTTTTCTCAATGGGAAACAAGCTTATAAATACCGCTTTAGTAAAAATTGCAATATTTGGATTTTAATTGTTGAGGAAATCAAATGCATAGAGGATGTTGTATGGCTAGAATGTCGATCCCCAACAATGACTATCCTTAAATACTATCCACCTCCTTCTCAGTAACTTCAACTAATTATATCAACACACCTGAATTTATTGCTGAGCATAAATTATGTTATTTCTGTTTTCAACCTACTAATATGGGCATTTTTAGGCTTACAATTAAACCATTCCAAAATGGACACACATCGTTTTTCGAATACATTTTCATCCTTAAATACATGGCATTGTCTAGTATACAGTTTTTGTCTGTTTGAAACATTGTTAATTTTTTCTTAAACCTTATATGTCAATATTACAAATTTAAAGTAAACAACAATAATTAGAGACAAACAGTTAATATTAATCTTGTAAAGGCAAAGTATAAGCTCCAATAATTAATAAACTTAAAACATAAAAAAACATTAATAATTTACTTAGCTGATTTGATAAAACTAAGATTTTTACTACTTGTAGTTTAATTACTTTTGTTGCATAATGCCATCAGTTGGTTATTGGGACTGGACTATATTGATAACAAAGTGATTACAATAAATCACACCTATTGAACTTAATATACAGTAGAACCCCTCTAATCTGTCACCTTTGGGACTGGGGGTATGGTCGGAACGAAAAAAGGTCGGATTATCAGAAAAAAGTAAAATAAACAATCTTCCCCTTTGTCCAGTCTTTGTAGCACTGCTAATTTTTCATTTAATGAAAGAGTAACCTGTTTACGTTTCACTCCTGACATGTTGAAAACACACACAAAACTGTACATTTACACACAATGTAAAACATATACTGTAACGAACACAGAAGAATGCCACGGACGGTGAGTCACCGACGAGTCGGGACAAGTTTCTCGACTCCGACCACGGTCGGATTAATCGGAGTGATGGACTAGCCGAGGGCGGACTAGAGGGGTTCTACTGTATTTAATTTTGCAAGTAACATTTATAAATTTAAAATCGGGTTACTGCATGATTATATTTATCACTGAACCATTGCATTATTGTTACAAAGCTTGAACAGATGAATAATCATTTCCACAGAATATCTTTCTGGTTGGTGTTTTTTACGGTAGAAAACCTCTTAGTTGTTAATATCCAAACTTCATAAAATGTTATATTGAGAGATTTTTTTTTGACTGATACAAATTTTTCTTTTATAAATGTCCTAAAAACTTAATGCTGGATTTTTTTCATTTAAAATATATTGTAATGATTTGCTTAACTTTTTTTTTTATTGAAAATTATTTAGACACATTATCAAAGTTTAAAATTGTCTGTTGCACCATCTCTTATGATATTTCATTTAAGAAACTGTTTTTTTTTTTATACTATTAATCTATATATATAATCAAGATGGGATGATGATGATGATGATGATGATAATAAGTGCAGAGCCCAAATGGTTAGGAGTTGAAAGTTGAAATTTGGTACATAGTTAGGATGTCATAAGAATGCACACTAAGAAAGGATTTTTCGAAATTTCCTTCTGCGGGGAGAGGGTTAAGTATTACCTGAAGAACTTGGCTTCTACTGTACTATTTTAGATGCAGTATTTTGCTTTTCTTGTGGAAAATCAAACATACTTTTTAGAACCATCTAAAAATTCTCTAATTAGTCTAGGAAGAGGAGGTGACCTAATTGCACCCAGTGAGAACAGATAAGATTGGTTATAATCTAATCTTAATCTTTGCTATCATTACTTTTTGCCCAAGCAATGCTGGGCTCATCTCCCATGAAAATTAATATTTATTATAAATTAGCAGAAGTGAATTTTTAAAAATAATGTAAATGCAAATAACAATTAAAATTTTCAATAAGTTTAACCCAACCAAAGATATGACATATGACCCTTCCTCAAACATCAAAGCCCCCTTGTATAAAAGTTACTATGCCAAATTTTGTTTTTATCATTTACTCCTTCCTGAGATGATGATAAACAAAATGAACAAGCTCGCACTTCTCTCATACACTATTATTCCAGACGACTCATGCCAGACCTTAATTGAGTAAGCTATCTTGACAAATATGCACGTGTGTGTATCCTGAGATATTAAACAAAATAGACATGCATTGCATGTGCACACCACATATGGAATTTAATATTTATTTTTGTTCAGGTTCAGGTGGTCTCAAATACATTAAATGTTGTTCTAAATTCTATCATACATTTTGAAGTGTGCCAAATATCAATAAAGGAAATTTCTGATGCTGAAAAAGAGATCAAAATATATTCTGTTAGCCAAAAGATTCTATAGTTTATTAAAAGTTTGAGAAGACTTTTCCAAAAATATTTCTGTAAAGCTTCTTAATTAAGTTCGCATCCATTGTCTCGACTTTGTATTGCATAAGCAAATAATTAAGCATAACTTGCTTTGGAGGCAATAACTTTTTGGTTCATAGGTAGCCTAGTGTCATACTCAGAAAGCCACTTAAATTTTGTTGCCATATTTAATTAATTATATTGACCAAATCATCTTTTTTCCCTCTGTAAACATAATTATAAATACTTCAATGTTTTATTTCGATATATGGAATAAAATTACTAACAAAATAATTAGTTAATAAGAACAAATTATTTATATTAAATAATTTTTTTCAGAGTTAAGAGGATTTAATTCTGAAGAAGATATGGAAGCCTATGCAAAAGTTAATGAAAGAATATTAGGAGCAACAGTGTTTGAAGAATATGATAAAGAATCACCTCTTTTTAAATATAAATTGAGGTTGCCAAATAAATTTACATTTGAAACAGATAAAACTTACTATATCAGCTCTCAGTCAGGACCTCGACTACATAAAGGTTTGTAAAAAAAAACTGTCATTAATATTATTTAAAATGTTTGTTAATGTAAATAAGTATGAATGATTTAAACTGAAAATAATAGTACAAAATAGTGCAATGCTATGTTTATATAGAATAGTATCACAAAGTTGAATACTAAATCAAAAGATTCAAATAAAATCAAAATAATAGTTATAAATTCCTTAAATTCAAGAAGTCATGCAAATTACTTGATGCTCAAGTCACATGTAAGTCATGATTATCCTGTAACATACAGTATTTTTTTTTGGTTGTAGCATTATTTATATATAAAATATAAAATGACCTTTTAAGTCTAAAACTCGGAAAAAATTTCAGTTTAAAATCAAAAATAGAACATGAAAATGATTCCATGTCAAGTTCTTTATAATGCTACATAGTTCAGTGTGTTTTATCACTGTTTTCAGATTCATGGAAGACACTATTTATAAAAATTGTTAAACGTTTTCATGCTCAGTGTTGGTTTATTACTGAACACTATAAATCTGTCTGTATCATTTGCTAGGTATAATGGATTTTAAAACTGTTTGAATCATTTTATTTAATTTTTTTTTTCAGTGATGTACAGTACACAGAGGTGTTTTTTATGCATAGGCAAAGTAAGCATGTTTGAATAGTGACAATTGTTATAGGTGACATTATAATTAGATCACAAAATGATTTAGACATACATCTAAAAAACATATTAAATTATAATGTTTGTTTATATCATAATCAAAATTATATATTACAATAATAATTTAATATTTATATCTAAACATAATAGCAGTGGCACCACACATTAATTTACTGTAATAATAAACAATGAAAAACTTTGATAAGTGTTGCTACATACTTAATGTGCAAATTTCAATAAAGTGATAGTAGGAATGCAATTAAAATAATTGAGTGACGGAAGGAAAATACTCTGTGGTCATCAAATTTTGCTACCATTTACAAAAAATTTTGCCACCGTGTTTTTTTAAATCTGTTTACAGGCAGCAAAATGCTAAAAACACCTCTGAATATACAGTACTTAATAGTATAGGACATAATTTTAGATAAAAGTGATACCACTACATGCTTTTTAGTGTTGCTGATAAGTTTTTAGTTTGTATTGAAGTATATGTATGCTATTCAATTACTTTTACAATTAGTATTTTTTATATTTTTATATACTATTAACTAATTATAAACTTCAGTTGATAACTTTAAACACAAAAACATTTTCAGCCTTTCTAAGGCCATCTTCAGTGTTCAATGCAGCTTCAGTTTTGCAATTCAAACAAAATTCATCTTTAGAAAGATGAATTGTGTTTGAAATTTTTTCATTATTACTATTAAAAAGTTTAATCATAAAGCATATATTAAATATTAGCTATAGTATTAAATTAAATTCAAGACATACAATGACAAAATGGTCCCTTCAGACATTTTATCTTCGAAATGCTATGATATATTTAGATTTATTATTTATTTAAAACATGTATTTTTCTATTAAGTAATTATTGTTCATAATGCAATTCAGTAATCCTCCAATTCAAATACTACAATCTTGCTGGCTAGATAGATGAAGAGCATGTTTTAGGCAAGGAAGTAGTAATTTATTCAACAAAAGCAGTCATTAGTCTTCTCATGGATGAAATTTCAATAGTTTCCATTACAACAGTATTAAATTTTATTAATAATAAACCTTTTTTAATATTAGAATATATGATTTAAGATATTAATGCACATTTGTTAATATATTATACTTATAGCCTCAATCTTAGATTAACTAATTAACTAATAATTTAAATGCAAGAAGCTGTTTGCTGTAGTCAAATAGAAAATCACGTATTTTATTCAAAACTCTTGACTTGTTTTCTGTAGATGACATTACATTCTGGTTAAGCTTAATGCCAGGATTTCTTGTGCATATTCATATGAAATTTTAAAGTTAAGAAAAATAATTTACAAAGTTTTGTTGATGTAACTATGTTAATTTTATCATATCTTTATCAATAGATAACATAGCACCAAAATTGCCACTTCTAACTATGCAGCATGACCTGATTATTTATTTATCTATGTATATATACACACATACACATAATTTTATATATATACATATCTGATTGTGCTGCATAGTGCCAAAATTGCCATTTGGTGATATTTTTATTAAAGTGGTGATAAAAATAGAATACTGGTGATAGCAAATGGTGATAAGAACCCCAGTCTGTTTGTTTTGACATTCAGCATGAAATTGAATCACATATTACACTTAAAGAAAAACAGCAAAATGCTGAGCTTCCTGCAATGGGAGTCCTATGCACTACACACATCTAGCAATTTAATGATGTCGTGGCAATTTCAGGCCGAAAAGTAGGAAGTGACGTCGAGAACCGAAGGCAGTTTTGTGCAATTCCACCCAGTGCCTCCAGATTGGGGATTTTTTTTTATTGACCAACAGAAAATTTTTGGAATTTTTTGGGATGACTTTTTATCATTTTGATCTTTTTTTTAGCAGACTAAAACAAAAATTTTGACATGACAGAACCTGTGAAATACTGTTTAAATATTGTGATTAAATGTATTGTTCAGAATTATTCATTAAAAATTATTATTCAAAAATGATTTCTATTGCTAACAAGGGGAGGCCAGACATTTGTGTGTGTAATTTGAATGAAACTTGGTGATCAAGTAGTCTTAAACAAAACAGCTCCTTGGCCAAATAATATGACCCACTTCTCAAGCATTTCCAAAAATTGGGCCTCTGAGAATTGAGTGTTTAGCTTATAAGTTTTTGGAAGTTTCATGTCCCAGAGTGGCAATAACTGAGTGAATAAGATGCCAGGCACTGGAGCTAGACAATGTAGGTTTGAATCTTCGGAGTTATTTTAGTTTTAGTGTAGTTTAGGTTTTATTTATTTGTAACTTTATTTTTTATCACATTATTATTATTATTCCTCATGTTTAAAGCTTATAAGATGAGATTAAGAATTGTTTGTTCATTTCTCTGTTTAACAAAAACAAGCCTGTGTACTCTGTAGATTTAACTTTTATGCCATTAAATAAAATTTTTATTTCTTCACATTTATCTTCACATATTTTTACATATGATGTCCTCATAAGTGAATAAGCTTTGGACATTACTGCACATGGACAAAAAGAAAAGTAATATGAAAATAGGGTAATGTTGTTGTAGCATTTTATTTTTTTAATTGTTAATATAGACAATTTCCTCATGTGCTCATGTTTGTTACATTTCAAATGTCACAATACCACCACATCTGAAAATATGAAGAAAATTTCATTTAACAATGTAAGAGTTAAATATACAAAGACTTGTTTTCTGTAAACAGGAAACAATGTCACAATTTTTAATCTATTGCTTTATAAGCTTTAAATGTGAGAAATAATAATAGTAGTAATAATGTGGTGAAATAATAAAATAATAATGTTACACGTAAAAAAGAATTAAACTAATTTTGAACTTTTGAAATTTTACATTGTCTAACATCTTATTCACTTGGCTATCGCCACTCTTGATATGAAACTTCCAAATACCTTATAAGCTAAATAGTAAATTTTCACAGGTCCATTTTTTTTTGACATGCTTGAAAAGTGAGTCCTATTATTATTTGGAGAAGGAGTTACTTGTATTTAAAGCTATATGCTTACCAAGTTTTGTTCAAATTGGAGACTCAAACATCTGGTTTCTCCTTTTGAGTGACAGTTTAACGTGTTACTTTTGTTTCCCGGATGCCAAACTGATAAGACTATCAGCACCTGCATTAATTACTACTGTAAATAAAAGTGGTAGTGATAAATAATTTGAGTGGCAAAAAAAATTTAAAATATATATATATAGTTATTTTTCATTGACTTGATGCAATTAAAAAACTTTTTCATTAAGATATTTTAATTTTTAGTTTATATATAAATTTTTTTTTCATTAATATAAAAATTGTTTTTATATGTATACTATTTAGCATATATAAAAATAGAAACACTTAAACATAAAATTTACATAACATTTAAGATATTTAATTTAGAATTATTTAATGAATTTTAAAATTAAGATATTTTTTTTTTTTATTCTTTTAGATTATTATGGTGGTTATGCAATGTCAACATACCTTAAATCAAACTTTCTTAGTATTCAAGCTTCAATTGATTTGGCTTATATTGATTCATTTCAAAATATTTCTAAGGATATTAATGTAAGATATTAATATTTTTTAATCTTTTTTAGATTTTGTTCTTATTATAATTATTAGTTAGTTTTTTTAATCCTCTTATGGTTGTTTCTTGACTATATTTATGTAACTTCTGATATAAACCTTTTTGTTGACAAATTCTTTCCTTTAAGACTTTTTGTTTTCATCCTTAATTTCTTAATAGATTTAATTGTAGGCATAATTTAGTCTTTCATTCTTATCTACTAGTCTTTTACTCCACAACCATTTTTTCCTCCCAGGATTAGCTCCTTATTGAACGTCAGATATTATTAGGTGTGTATACATTAAATATTATTTAGTATATTTAAAGGTTTGCAGATTCAGGTCTTTCTCCAGAATTATTCAGATGTTGAGAAATTGTTTTTTCTAACTTTTGGAATTCAGTTCTTTTTCAAATAATTAGAGTAAATCTTCCTTTTTTAGGTTTGACGTTTAAATCATGAAAGTCTCTCTTGAAACTTGGCTCAATAATAATAATACAGAAACAGGTTTTGTATAGAAAACAAGAATCATTGCAATTACACAAATGCTGTAACTCTTGCAGACAAAAATAGTATACCATTAAACTTACAAAGCACTGTCCTGGATTTAACACGGTGCACAAAATACATGAACACTCATTAGACAGTCTTGGCGCTCTATGGTAGAAACCCCCTCAGCCAGTATGAAGTTAATAGAACTGAAACTGCAGGCTGATTCATGGATGCCTCATTGGGAGACAAAAGTTTGTAATTGCCATGCAAGACTAGGTTATAAATACAAATGATAGAAAGCATATCTTAAGAGGCAGCACTCGCAGATGATACTTGCAGGAAATGCCACATCATGCCTGAGACTATGCAAAACATTACCTCACGTTTCAACCTTTTAACACAAACTGACCACTTAAATCAGGGCCGGATTATCGCACAGACAAATGTCTATAATCATGGTTGCAAGCCAATAGCTTGCAACCATGATTATAACTAGGAGGATGTTTAGTGAATCATAAGTGGAATGAAGATAAGACATGCAGAAAAAAAGGGAGGAAATAGCTTGCATGCATTAAGTAGAAAGTTGAAGAAACTTTCTGCAGGAAACTGGAGAAAGACAAGAAAAAAATTATATTTTGAGTGTACTTTATCACTTTTGCCAAATCAAATAAAGATGACAGGAAAGAGTTTTAAAGCAGTGTATATGATGATCGGCTAAGCAATCTGGTGGGGGCTAATAAAATGTATGTCGGTCTACAAAGAGATCACTACAAACTATGCATAGAAGAGTTATTGAGACAAGAAAAGGCATTACCATGCTATATCAAGAAACCCTTAATAAAGAAACCAAGGTATGGTGGGAAGAAATAAGGGAAACAGTTTACTTGGAGATTGCTGATTAAAATGTGGATACACAAATAATTTTTAAAGAGAATGTAATTATTGGCAGGGACTGTAAAACATTTAAGAGCTGTTCCATACATTCAGTACAAATCTTGTTAATAAATTTGTAGTTCTTAGGGTTTGTGGATAGTTTGTGATTTCAGTTTTTTTTAAAGCTGTTGTTAGTTTGTCATTATTTCTGTTGATTAAGAAATGCAGTTATTGTATACTGGGGAAGTAATGTTTTGCATGTGGCTGAGTAGGAGATGTGACATAGTTTTCTTGGTGGGGATGGGATAATTTAGAGTGGGTAAGAACAACTGTAGATCATTGATGTAGCTTGTTGTTGCACAGACATGGGTGACAACTACTAAGTTATTGGGCTGCGATTTGAAAAATTGTAAACTTATAAATTTTCACTGTCCATCCATTCATCCATCCATCTTTCCTTAATCTTGAACAGAGTTAGATGAAAAACCAAGATCAAATATGGACTTTACAGGCAAGAGGCCATGATTAACTATATACAAACTTCTGATGCAAATCAGAAGTCACGTTATTTCAATTCAAAAATTTTTTCCTGAAAGTTGTTAGATAGATTACCAGTATGACTCTATATGTACAGAGGTACCCCACTACTAATTTGAGCATATATTTTAAATTCATTAAATTAAAAATGATTAAAAACTGTAGCCCGATATTGTGATGCCACAATAAATAATTGCTTGTTTCATTTGTATATCTCCTGATGGACTTGGTTGTCTGAAAGAGTTAGAGTAATTTGTAGTAAAAGGTGAACTCTGAAGAAGCAGTTTTTTGTTATTTTAAAAGAACTTGGCATTGTTTTCACATTAGGTACTATGTATTTTATTCTTTATATGCTGGTGAAATTTATATAAAAATGCTGAATAATATAGATACAGTATAATGTAAATTTCAAAGACCTTGCTTATAACATACTCTGATTATTACATCTCTTCTAGCATTCCCAAAGAATGTTTCAAACAAACTTAACTGTGTTCTTAGAGTGTGACATCTCTCCCAATAAAACAACACTCATGGAATTATCTTGTATTACATCCACATTACAGTTCTTGTCTATTGTGTGTTTAGATATCAACTTACAAAGCAAATATAAGCCTAAGCTAAAATTTTGAGTTAAAAATTTGATTTGACTTATACATTAGGTCATCTTATTGCAATTTATAGTGAACTTTGTCAGCTACAGCATATGGAATAAAGTGGCAAAAAAAAAATTCAGATTTGTCTAATAAGACATAATGGCTTTTGGAATTATTTTCTGGCATGGAATGCTAATTCTTTGATCTAATCATACACTATCTAAATTATAATTATATATATAATCATTTAATGTAAAATAATTAGTAATAAATTATTTTAAATGATGATATTAATATTTTTATTTATATTAATAAT